GGGGTGGGGGGGGGGCACCGATCGTTGCTAAATACAAGCGATCCGCCGGCTTTACAGCCGGCGGATCGCATGTATATTAACGGGCATCGCTGCAGTTAATGGAGCAGTAGGGCTGCAACAACTAATCGATAATTGATGAGAATAGTTGCCAACTATTCTCATTATCAGTTAGTAGGGAGGGAGAGTTTTATTAATGCAACCAATCGATTAGTTGAAAAAATAAAATCGGCCAACAAATCGATTATGAAAATACTTGCTAGCTGCAGCCCTATGGAGCACCTGTCACCTTCGGCTATTCATGATTTGGACAACACACACCTTCCCCATTAGAGGGGACTTGTGTTGTATTCACAGAAGATATCTGGGAATTCAGATATTTGATATTTGAGGTTTTAGTTTAGTACACAGGAGTTCTTGCAGAATCAAAAGGTATTTTGATGTACTTGCAGAAAATGTACTTAACCTAAAATAAACTGCTGCAGACACCACATCTTAGGGCCCGTTCACACCAGGTGCAGTGCGTTCCGGCCCGATTCTGGCCAGAAAGCACTGCCTCGCATTGCGGCCGGCTCACTTTTTTTGTGGGGCAGGAGGGGGTGTGGCGGGCCATTGAAGTGAATAGCACCGTAGCTACAGCAGCATTTTGATCAGACCGGACCGCAGGCATAATGTGCCTTGCGATCCCATGCAGCTGATCGCATTGAGGCCGGAGGGCGTGGCTACGGTGCCATTCACTTCAATGGCCCGCCACGCCCCACATAAAAAAGTGAGCCGGCCGCAATGCGAGGCAGCTTGTTCTGGCCAGAATGGTGTCGGAACGCACTGCATCTGGTGTGAATGGGCCCTTAGGACCTGCATGTTCCAATATATTAGATATTTTGTTCTTGGCTCTAGATATACTTTAAAAGGAAACCTGTACGCAGATTAAAGATGGCCATACACCTAGAGATTTTCTATGGTCAGATGGGAAAAAGTGCAAATAGTTTAGCGTAGAAGAAGAAATCTATGTGGATGGAGAAATCTTCCACTGGGCCCGGCTCCAGTGTCTTGCTGGTCGGCACCGCTGGCTGCCATTGTTCAGGTGATTTGACAGCCATCGGGGCCAACTAGCAAGATACTGAAGCTTGGCCCAGTGGGGCGATTGCTCTATCCACATAGATTTCTTCTTCTACGCTAAACTAGTTGCACTTTTTCCCATCTGACCATAGAAAATCTGCAGAAAATCTATAGTTGCTTGACCAAGTAAACATGTAAGCTGCCATTTACTATTTCTGAAAAAAGCTTGTTGCCTGGTTGTAATGGAGATTTATTTGTTTCAATATTACCCTGGCTGCGTACCAATTCACACATTTACCTAAACAATCCGAAAACGCCATTACCTGTGCTGGTGTGTCCGTCTCGTTAATTGGCTGACCATCAAACCGGAACCTAATTTGCCTCATTGACAAACCCTAGAATAGAAAATGAGATTTTTTTTTAAAGGCTTATAAATATTGTCACATGGTTTACTTGACTCTCTACATCTAGGAATACATCACTTGATGTGAACATTTCCAATGGATCTATATGCATAACATACACTGTACAGTATTGTATATAAATAGATAGCAGGATTTCGCATCTTCAGATAACTGAAGCACCAACTGAATGCATTTTTACAAATACTTGGCTTCTCTCCGTTTCTTTGGCCATTGAGCTCCAGGGAAGGTGGACAAACTGAATAACATACTGAACAATGCATTCATATTAAGGATCTAAGAATAAGGCTGGACTTCTGCTTTAAGATTCTGCACCATTCTGAAAGAATATATAATCCTCCGGCTCTCAGACATGTTCATTGATCTAATGACTTGGACAAAATGTGTGCTAATGTCATTATGGCGATTGCCATTGTGGTTATGAGTTACAGCACTAGTTTAATAAGACTGATAGGTCTCATTTATCAGAGGAAGTGGAAATGTCATGCTTACCTGACGTTCACAATAAGCCTTCATAAGCTTATTGAGCGGTGTGTGTCTTTTGATTTTAAATTGCACCACTGATCCATCTTGTCCAGCCACTTTTAAGTTGATGTGATCATTGTTCTCAGTCTTAACACCTTCCTGCAACATCAATATAAATTTACAATGAATTAATGTTTTATGCATATTGGTGCTTCAAAAAAAACAAAAACACACCACAACATACCCTACATTAGGGGTCAGTGAAGTAACCCCTTACATTGGTGGAGAGTGGGAGGAACAAAGTTCCCTTACAGAAAGCCCAACAAGAGCATTGGTGTTCGTAGTTGCTTACTTGTCCTATGCCACTGGTCCTACCGAGTAATATCTGCTAAACCTTAGGAAGGTGAACACACACAGTTTATAGTTTTGTGCTGAAAGAGCTGCCCTTGGCCATGCTGCTGAGGATACAATAAACTGTGTACTTAGCAATAGGGATGCACTGATAACGTTTTTTTCAGTGTCTAGTACCAATATTTTTTTTCCGGTACTCACTGATACCGAATACTGGAAGTCTCATTAAGGAAGCCGGGCGGCGTGTCCTGCTTAGCCAGGAACCCTGTAATTATTTGCCACTCGGCTTCCCGCTTACCCATATCTAATCAGGAAGCCGACTTAATGCTACCTCGTCACCAGGTGCAGAGGAAGAATGTAGTCGGCTTTCTGGCCAATGAGGAACATGGGGGACGGGTAATGAACTCAACGCCCAGCTTCGTGACCAATCAGGAAGCTGGGCTGTGAGTCATTACATGCCCCTGGCTTCCTGATTGGCCGGAAAGCCAGCTCCATGCTCCCTGGTGATGAGGGCGCATGGAGCCCGCTTCCCAGCCAACCACGAACTTGAGCAGCATGTAATGACTAGCCTTCTGGCTTCCTCATACCAGAAGTTCCGGTAACGGGAGCATTTGGGCAAGAGAGTACTCGCCCAAATACTCAGTATTGGTGCATCCCTAGTTAGCAACATGGCCCCAGACAACACCTCAGAGAAGATGATACATTGGGGGGGAATGTATGAATGCATCTGTGTCTGTTTAGAGCCTGCCCTACCTCCAATCCATGTGCATTTCTGAGGCAGACAAATTCCTTTGGCAGTGCACTGTTTTTTTACAGCAGTCCGCTCTTTCCACTTTGCGACCTTGCGCGACAGAAGTGCAAACCAGCATGATTTTAGCATAATATCTGCAAGAGCAGAAAGTCTCTGCCACTGAAATCTATACCATTCAGTCGCAAATGTTAGAAGTGCTCGACCACTTCTTAAATGAGTGCAAAGAAAATAAAAGGCTATAAAATTAGATTTACACACAAAGATAGCACTTAGCAATACATGAAAGCAAATGTAAAATGCAGGAATGTGACAAAAATATCCACAAAACTGCAGCTGGTCGGTCAGCCTGTGCACGACCTCTTCCAAGACATGAAAGTGATCCTGTAAAGTCTGTCGTGGACATTGGTAACTACATTGGGAGAACTAAAGAGCTACAGTGTCAGCAGCCCAATGGATACATAATTTTCACTTGGAAAAGATGTGCACAGATTGAGAGGCAAATAAACTGAAGCCTCAGCAGCTGTGTGGATTGTCTCATTCATTTGCTTCCAAATAGTACTATTTTGCGACACTATACCCAGTCTTAAAGGAGAACTATGAGGTGAGTGCTTTTCAATCACCTCATAGTTCTAGCTGACCCGTGACAATGAGACTGTCACAGGTCGGCTCAGTAGATCGAGAAGTGAGCAAACACATACCGGCGTTCGCTCACCTCTCGATCCTGTCACAGCTCTCTGCCGTGACAGGGAGGGGCTGGATTCCCCCCTCCGCTGACTGGCGGATCGGATGGGGGAGGGGGCGGGTACAGCTGGCTCTGCCTGTAGATAGGCAGAGCCAGCTGTCACTCACGCAGCTGGGTGGATCCAGACATAATCCAGCAGTAGCTCGCGGTATACTGAGCTTAGGGTGACGGGAGGACGCTATTTTTTAGTACCTGTTGATCCTGCCATTTGATGGACTTCTGGTCATATGGTGACAGTGATGGCGTATGGGGAATCCCAAGCAGCGTGGCCACCCCAGGACGTGGGCCCCCAAGCAGCGTGGCCACCCCAGGACGTGGGCCCCCAAGCAGCGTGGCCACCCCAGGACGTGGGCCCCCAAGCAGCGTGGCCACCCCAGGACGTGGGCCCCCAAGCAGCGTGGCCACCTAGGATGTGCACTCCCTGGGCTCCCAAGCAGCGTGGTTACCCTAGGATGTGCACTCCCGTGCAGCGTGGTCACCTAGGATGTGCGCTCCCTGCAGGCAACCAAGCAGTGTTAACCGTCCTTCAGAGGTGCATATGAGAACTCTGACGTTCAGGTCAGGTTTTAACAAATACTAGTTAATAATTAATAAAACATTCAGTGGAGGGGTGTGTCTCAAAATATTCAATGTGAATCAGTTGTGTGATAATACATCAAAAACAGACAATGTATACCTCAAAACAGACAATATGTAGCTTATCTAATAAAATTGTAATAAACTGTGAATATATGTAACATGTGTAGGTGATTCTTGTTAATAAATAGTGAATGGACAGACCATGTGTACCAATTGAATAAAATGAAATAAAAATAAAACTTTTTTCAATGTATATGTGAGTAGTCCAAATCTTTTGTAGTTTTTTTTAAAGTTTTTTTAAAAAGTCTTTAAAAATCCATAAATGTAAGACACTTAAAAAGTGAAAATTCGGTGCAATGATGTGTCCAACGAAACTCCAAAAAAACGAAACAAATATGAGTTCTTATATGCACCTCTGAAGGACGGTTAGCGCTGTACGTTTTTTAAAATACCACATCCTAATAGGGGCTGAGTGCCTTTTTGTTCAGCGGCTTCCCCTATCCTTTTTAGACCAATCTATTTATATATATTTAGGTTTATCCAATCTAAACTTTTATCCATATTTTATTATTCTTAGTATTTCCATTAGCGCAAGTTCTTTGCAATTATTATAACCAAGCAGTGTTGTCACCCTAGGATGTGCACTCCCTGCAGGCAACCAAGCAGCGTGGTCACCCTAGGATGTGAGCTCCCAAGCAGCGTGGCTACCCTAGGACGTGCACTCCCTGTGGGCTCCTAAGCAGCGTGGCTACCCTAGGATGTGCACTCCCTGTGGGCTCCTAAGCAGCGTGGTCACCCTAGGATGTGCGCTCCCTGCAGGCAACCAAGCAGCGTGGTGACCCTTGGATGTGCGCTCCCTGCAGGCAACCAAGCAGCGTGGTCACCCTAGGATGTGCACTCCATGTGGGCTCCTAAGCAGCGTGGCTACCCTAGGATGTGCGCTCCCTGTGGGCTCCTAAGCAACGTCCACTCGATGTGCGCTCCTTAGCATCGTCGAAGCAGTAGGATGTGCACTCCCTGTGGGCTCCTAAGCAGCGTGGCTACCCTAGGACGTGCACTCCCTGTGGGCTCCTAAGCAGCGTGGCTACCCTAGGATGTGCACTCCCTGTGGGCTCCTAAGCAGCGTGGTCACCCTAGGATGTGCGCTCCCTGCAGGCAACCAAGCAGCGTGGTGACCCTTGGATGTGCGCTCCCTGCAGGCAACCAAGCAGCGTGGTCACCCTAGGATGTGCACTCCATGTGGGCTCCTAAGCAGCGTGGCTACCCTAGGATGTGCGCTCCCTGTGGGCTCCTAAGCAGCGTGGCTACCCTAGGATGTGCACTCCCTGTGGGCTCCTAAGCAGCGCGGTCACCCTAGGATGTGCGCTCCCTGCAGGCAACCAAGGAGCGTGGTCACCCTAGGATGTGCACTCCCTGTTGGCTCCAAAGCAGCGTGGTTACCCTAGGATGTGTGCTCCTTGTGAACTCCTAAGCAGCATGGTCAACCTAGTACTTGTGCTCAATGTGGACACCAAGCGGACATGCCAGCACATACAACTTGAAGACCACAGATACTGCAAGGCATCATAAGATACTCACATCATCGGACATAAAGCACAGGTGCACAAAGCAGAAGGAGGAATGAGGGAACTTATAAAGTCAGAATGAGTCTCCTGGAGGAATTAATGAGACTCATTGATCTGAGTGTGCAAAGGGTCTAAGCCCAGCCTTGTGGGTGAAGCACCTCAGAGAAGGCGGTCCCAAGCGAAGACTCTAATCTTGCTGTGCGGACAAAGTTATCAGTGTGAATTTTCTGGTCGGTCTATTGCTTTGAATTTGTGCAGCCGGTGGGGCATGGGAGACCTTCTGCGTTTAGCACCCGATCTTCCATGAGCAACTCGATTCAGGGCTTGGTAGCAGCGTACCCTATATTTGTGCCAATGCACTCAGGAATGAGTTGGGAAACTAAAGGGCTCCGTCACACCATTAGCAGCGACAGGTGCTTTTTATCAACACCAGTCACTGCTAAGGCATATACAACAATTATTTCTATAAGCCCCATTAACACCACACGGTGGGATGCAGAAAAATTGCAGAGCAGCTGCGTTTTCTGCAGGCCACTGGATGGCACCGGAGGTCGCAGTGCAGCACGGAGACCTGAATGAAGTGTACACCTTGTGCACACCAAATAAAGTTTAAAAAAAAGTAAACAGTGCAACGGACTAAAACAGTGCATCACCCCGTCGGACCTCGCTCAGATCACATGGTTTAGCGTTCGGGCTCGTGTGAAGGGAGTACAGGTTCACTTTAAAATAAATGGCAAACTGCAATCTGTAGCAATGATACATTCTATCAATTCATTCAAAGGCCAGGACTTAAAATACAGATCCCAGGAGGTGCCCTGTTTATATCAGGAGACCATTCCAGCCAAACATTCTTCCAGTGGTGATCTCAGCCCATCCCCCCAAACACATTTCCTCTAACTACTCCAAGATCCAATAAGAAAACACACACCAAATGGTACTCAGCTTCACGATTGTGTTTTATCAGAATTATATTATTATAATACAGGAGTTACACAGAACCTAGCTTGCATGGCAGTTTACAAAATAGAGAGACAGTAAAACTACAATACAAGCCAAGGGTGATACTATAGCCCTGGAAGTCCTAATGTACAGAGATTCTGATTATAATGTGTATGGGGGGCCCAAAGCCATACAATCAACTTCAGATCTACCAAAACTCTGCACCATGAGGACCAACCTGAAGCATTCCATCAATCTGTATAGGATCAGGCAGGTATTACATATACAGCAGATTGTAAACTTAGTTATCAATGACACAATGTGAGGTTCGCTGCCGACTTAGGTCCGAATTACATGAACTCACATCTGGTGCAGGCATTTCTCACCGATCAGATCGGTACTTCTATAGGTCTGCGGCCCTGATCACTGTACGGCTCCTTAATGCATGCACACACACACGAGCCTCCTATACCTGGAGTCCGGCCTTCCCTCCTCACTGTAGTTACCCTCCCCAGGCCTCTGTCCCAGCTCCTCGCCCGACTTTATATCACAGTCATGTCCTTATAGCTGTGTGCAACCCCAGTCTGCTTCCCCTTCAATTCCCACACAATACCTTCGGTTTGTCGTCTGCCATGGTCGGTCCTATGCCGGTATCCGGTAATGTCGCTGGTGCCGCCTCCTCTTCACAAAGAGCCTGAACCCGCGCGGTTCGTCTGGCGGGGGCGCGCACGCAATGCTCCTTATAAAGCGCGTTTTGCGTGCGCGGTCCCGTCTAGCCACTCCCCTTACGCCCAGAGGAAGCCCGCTCTGTGGAGCACGTGGCGGCTGGGACACTTGTTCTGCGATTGTTGTATGTGCGGGATGGAGAGATCAGTGTGAACGAAGAGCTCTGATTGGCTGCTGCAGCATCTGTATTCTGTTGAATGCTAATTTCTATTTGCAGTTTACTTCACAAATAAGACCCTTTAAAGAGAACCTGTAATTTCACCCCGCATGCTTGAGGCCTTAGCCTGCTACCTATATTTGCGATGCAGCCACTTTTGCTATGAGATCTCTCCCAGTTCGTACCTAGGTGTTTTGTAGCTCAAAGCTCGGAAGCTACAAAATGCTGAACACAAGGAATCAAATTGGTTTCTATGGCATCTGTTCCCAACTGAGCGTCCTATCACCTGTAGTAAAACACCTGTTGCTGGGGAAAAGTACCTGAGCTACTTTTTTGCAGATTTCTGTGCTTTTGGCCCCATAGACTTCATGGAAACACCAGTTGATGCGTGTCACAAGTGTTTTGTACGTTTTGTTGCACAATCTACCAGCTGAAAACACCTCAATACACTTGACTAACGCACAACACACAACAAAAACACTTGTCTAGATGTGAACGGAGGATAACGGTGGTCATACAGGGACCAATTATATTTTTCAAATCGATTTGCCAACTGGTAGAAAAGTTAGGACAATTACCCGCCAACGTGAAAAGGAAATTGTAAGATGCATTTGGCCGAGATCATCAAAATCAATCAGAAGCCCCAATCAATCTGTTAGAATCGTATGAGGGGAATTTGCTAAAACTGGAGCAGACAGAATTTGGAACATTTGTCCATGACAACCAATCAGCTCCTCCAGTCTGTTCAGAATTTACAAATGAAGGAGAGAAGCTGATTGGTTACTATGGGCAGCTGCTCCAGATTCTGTCTGTTCCAGTTTTGATCAATTTCCCCCCAATGTGTGTAAGTAACCATCATTGTACGAAAAGATACTTTAACTGCATGACCCTGCTGGCATATATATATATTTTCAGCAAATATTATTATACAAACTGTTGGCGCTATAAAAATCCTGTATAATAATAATAATACAGGGTTTATAAAGCACCAACAGTTTGTGCAGCGCTTTACAAGATAAGTGAAAATTGAGAGATAGGTCCTGTTTCACAGCGCTCTCATGGGGGGAGGGGGAACTCCAGGGGGTGTTGATATTTGTGGGAGTATGTGCAGCACACCATCTCCCCCCACTCTGCCAGATCCCCACCTGCTAGGCAGGTACAACTCAGTTTGAGCGCTTCTCCCACCTTTGTTCAACTTTCAAGATAAGGAAGACATTACAATCACAATTCAAGACAAGATGGTAAGGAGGGCCCTGCCCCTGACGGCTTACAATCTAAAAGAGAGGAGCAAGTAATACATGAAGAGGTAGCTGTGTGGGGATGAATTCTTTGAGAACGTGATGGTTGACTGGTTAGTTTGAGGTGGAATAGGCTTCCCTGAAGAGATGAGTCTCTCTGCCTTTAGGCAAGGGATTGCCTAAAGGCAGAGTGGGAGATAGACGGACAGGTTGGGGTAAAGAGTTCCAGAGGATGGGAGAGACTCTCCAGAAGTCCTGGAGGCGAGCATGGGAGGAGTTGACCAGGGAGCTGGAAAACAGGAGGTCTTTGGAAGAGCGAAGGGGACGGTTAGCAATCACATCTTGCATGGTGAGGCAGCTGAATAATTAAATGAAACGTAGGGGTGCATCAGAAGACCATGAATACCTTATTCAAACAAAACCCATCACACTCCTGACCGAATAAGAGTGACTACGGGTGGGTGCAAAGAGTGACTACGGATGCCTCACTGAATCAATGGATGCCTCTGTGAATTTGACTCATGGTCGAATGTAGAAAAGGTCACTTGCACTCCAGATTAATTTTCAGTAAATATTTACTGACCTCTCATCGTGTCACATTGTCAAGCGATGTTTCTGAACCACGCAGTTCTGTCTTCAGGCAAACAACACTTGTGCGAGTGATCTTTTCTACATTCGACCGTGAGTACATGGCTCATTGGTGGACATTTCCAACACTGGGCTGTCTGGAGGAATAGCAATATATTGTCCATCGTCTAGGAATAGTCAGACCCGGCTGTTCATCACTCCCTCTCAGGCAGGAAATGTGTGCTGAAGCCCATATAGTCGCATAGTTGGTAAGGTTGAAGAAAGACACAGGCCATCCAGTCTACAGATGCTGGTTTAGATTCTCTTAAAAATAATAATTTGACCCCTGTACCTTCACTATGTATATCCACTGTTATAAATGTTCTGGCCAGCTCGTTCACACACCACTAGTGCCACTAGACGGCACTGAGGGGCACAGGAATTTTCCATGCTGTTTAGCACCATCTAGATGAGGATAGCTGCAGGAGCATTTCAATATGTCATCAACAAAAGTACTTTGACACTTGATATAAAGGTCCTCAGTGTATCTCTGAACCATGAAAATGATAGAATGGAGTCATCTGCTTAGCTGTTCCCTGAACGTTACCAATAAGGACGTTGTGTACAAAGTGATCATATGATGGTATGTGGTGCCCTCACAGAGCTCACATATGAACCCGGCCTGTTCTGATAAATGTTTTAGGGGCTGCCAGTCAGTAGGAGACATGTTACATTTCTGGTGGATGTGTCCATTTGTTTCTGCCTTTTGGTCCAAGGTTTTCCAGCTATTAAGCACTGTGTTTAAGAAAGAAGTCCCTAGATCCCCTTGGATAGCTCTCTTACATAGTCTTATAGATGGGTTATTCAAGTCTCAGCATACTCTCATGCACGACATTCTCCTGCCGGCTTAATTAACTATATCTAGCAATTGGAAAGAACAGTTTGTTCCTTTCCAGTCGGTCAGACAAAGGTTGGATGTTATTATTGTAAATGAGCGCCATACGAGAATTTTGGAAGACAAATTAAAACATTTCCTGCGCATATGGGAACCCTGAATAAAATGTTATCGCCTGGAGATGCACACAGCTAGTATGCTGTAGACATGTGCACTGGCAAAAAATGTGGTTTTCGTTTTGATTCGGATTTGGCATTATTTCATTTTTCGGGATTCGGGTCCGAAAGTCAATTCGTTTCGGAATTCGGACGAAATTCGTTAGCGGTAGTCTGTACGAAATTTCGTTTTTGTTTCGTACGTTCGTTGCAGCAAAGTGACATTTGAGAAGAAAAAATATATATTTTTTTCTTCTCAAATGTCATTTTGGTGCAACGAAATTTCGTCCAACGAACGAAATTTCGTACAGACTACCGCTAACGGATTTCGGAATCGGAAATTCGGATTCGTTTGCATTTGTTATATCTGTAATTCGGAAACATCCGGAATTTCGTCCGAATTTCGATTGGGAACAAACGAATCGCACATGTCTGGTATGCTGTGCTTGTGATCTCTGGGGGTGGGGGGCCCCTACTCTGGGTTGGGGGACAACCAGTAGCCCACATAGGATAATTTTGTGCTCTGTCCTCCCGCAGGTTCATGGTGTCACTATTTTTCTTTTCGTTGGTTCTATCCTTTTCTTAAAGGGTTATTAAACCCTTGCATGTTTTTGCATATATCTACTGTTAGTAAGCAGTAGATATATGCAAAACATATGCAAATATATGCAAAACAATTAATAATTAAAAAAAACGTTTTCAAAGGGTTAATACTTCTGTTTCCGCCGCACGCTCATGTCCGATCATCTGAAAATTTCTTGGGCGGGCGCAAAGGATCTTGGGGCGGGCGCATGCGCAGTTCAGATGTTCGGCTGGGAGATGAGGAGAGACCAAATGTAAGTATATGGAGCAGCGTGCATCCGCACAGACTCTCTGGGACATGAGAGAAGAGGAGGACAGAGGAGTCAGCGCTGGATCTGAGACCTGCTCCAGCGCTGGAGGGACAGCTAAAAACTACACTAAAGAAGAAGATGATCGAATTATGTAGGCATCAGTTAAGGTAAGTCCTTACTTTAGCACTGTGTGTTGGGGGGAGGGGGGGACTTTTGGCCTTAATGTCACTTTAACACCCATGCTCTTGTCTCCCTTCTCTCCCCTACTCTTTATAACGGGTGGGCAACTCCAGCCATCCAGCTGTTGTGGAACTACAAGTCCCATGAGGCGTTGCAAGACTGACAGCCACAGGCATGACTCCCAGATGGGATTTGTAGTTAAAGCACAGTTGGAGGGCCATGGTTGCCCACCCCTGCTCAATATTCTCTTCTTGATTGTTCTTTTGCTATTGACCTCATGCCATGAGTTACTCCTTTGTTTTTGTCCTCATGGTCAAGTTTCATGTGACATGTTCATCTTTATTTGTCAAGTGTAATTTGTGTTGGAAGAGTGCTATGTCTATATATACATAACGAATCCTTTTTAGTTGCAACACATACTCATTGTATTTCCATATGATAATCCAGTTGGTTGTTCTTTTTTTACTAAAATGTTAATAAAATATTGAAACAGCAATTTATAGAAAGTATTACCCTTAATAATGCTTGATCATTCAGAACAAGAATGTGGTACCCCTGTGTATTTGGAGGTGACTCACTAGGGAGATTGTGCTCTCCGGCACAGACTGTCTGTGCAAAAGTGGATTACTGTTTGACACTTCTGAGAGGGTCAATCTCCTGTGTCCACTGATGCATGGCTTAGTGGCTCCTCCTACTAACTTCTAATTCAATAGTGTGTCCTGAAGTGATCTGGAGGAAAATAGACACTCAAAATATCAGTTTCTAAACAGGTTTTAGCGACTTTCAACAGCATGGGCGGTGGTAGAGGTACAATCTCTATAAAATCTATTTTAGGGCTCATTCACATGGGCATGCACACCCGCGCAGAGACCTGCTCCCTGGAGGGACAGGTGCGGTGTGTAGTTGTGTGCAGCCACCTGTACATGGGAGGATGTGGCTGCATGTGGCTACACACCAACCCGAAGCTGCACAATCGTGCCTGTCCCAGTGTATGCACTTGGACGCAGACA